TCCTTTTTTTTTTTTTTTTTTTTTTTTTTTTTTTTACTGTGGATTGAACTTGGGACCTTGTGTTTGCGAGGCAGGTAGCGGAACCACTGAGCTAAATCCCCAGCCCATACCTCCAACATTTTTTGACTCTTTATTTCAGATGTCACATTCTCAGTTTTAATCAGAGAAGCAGAATCACTAGAAATGTGTAGCCAGGTGTCATGGTGGCACATATCTGCAAGCCTAGCACTTGGGAAGCTGAGGCTTGAGGATTGCGTTGAGTTCAAGGCCAGCCTGAACTACATAGTGAGACCTGTTTTTTAGAGAAATGTGTGCAAAAGGCTTATTGCAACGAACTGGCTTGTGTGATTGTGTGGACCTGGTTAGGCAAGTCAGAAATCTGTAGACCAAGCTGGGACATCCAGGCAGAGGGTGAGGCTGCTGTCCACAGGCAGTTTCCTCTTTTTGAGGGAAGCCTCAATTCTGTTCTTAACTCTTTTCAATAAATAACATGAGGCCCACCCAGGTCATCAAGGATAATCTCTCTTCCTTAAAGTTAACCAGTTATGGACTTGCATGATATCCACAAAACAGTTTTATGGAGCACTTACATTAGTGTTTTGGTTTTTTTTTCTTTTTTGCTGACTGTGGACTGTAGCCTAGTGTCCTAGTGTAGCTGCCACAAAAGTGCATCCATCATACCCAGGAAAATTTATAATCAAAAGAAATCTACTGCTCCCAGTTCAAGAGGCTGGGAAGTGCAAGATAGATCAAGGCATCTGAGATTCTCCGATGAAGGGTCAAGTCCTCACAGCTGATTCTTCTTGCTGCATGCTGACATCATAGAAGGGGCAAACAGCTCTTCTGGAAGGATACTAATCTCGTTTTTGAGGGCAGAGGCTTCATGACATAATCATCTGTCAGTCAGCTTTCCACCACTGTTGCAGAATGCCTGAGAAAATTGAAATGAGGAAAGGTTGACTGTGCTCAGTTTTAGGGGTTCCAGTCCATGGTCACTTAGCCCTGTTGCCTGTGGCCTGTGCAAGGCAGGGAGCATGTGGCCGAGGAAACTGCTTGAGCCAGAGTTTCAATAAATGCCTGGGAGCACACTGTCAACAGCATAACTTCCTTCCTCTAGGCCCCACCTCCTAAAATTCCACCACCCACTAAACTTGCTGGAAGATAAACTAGGCAGAACTCTGGAAGACATTGGCATAGGAAAAGACTTCACATATCGCTTCTCGGCCTTTTGGCTAAGATCAAGTGTAGGAAAAGACTTCACAAACAAATCCTCAGTGGCTTAGAAACTAGCACAAAGAATCAACAACTGGAATCTTATCTTTTTACAAAGCTTTTGCACTGCAAGAGAAACTACCAACAGGGCTAAGAGACAACCCACAATGTCGGAAAAATTTTTACCAGCTGCTCCTCAGACAAAGGACTATTATCTAGAATATATAAAGAACTCAAAACAATCAGACCCCCAAATATAAAGGCCCAATTCAAAAATGGGCATCTGAAATGAACAGACATTTCTCAGACAGAAATAAAAGCAAATAAATATATGAAAAAATGTTCCACATCCCTGGTCATTCGAGAGATGCAGATGAAAACAACATTGAGATTCTACCTCACTCCAGAAAGAATGGCTGCTATCAAGAAATCAACCAATAACAAATGTTGGCCGGGTTGTGGGGAGAAAGGAACCCTTCTCCATTGTTGGTGGGAGCGCAGATTGGTGCAACAACTGTGAAAATCAGTATGCAGATAGCTTAACTAAGATTGGAAGTCCTTTTCAACCCAGCTATCCCTCTGCTAGGTACCTTTCCAAAAGAATTAAAAGAACCATACCACAGTGATATATATGCGCACCCATGTTTATAGTGGCACAGTCTGTGATAGCTAAAACTTGGAAACAACCCAACTGCCCATTAACTGGACCCTGAATGAAGAACATGTGTTTTTTTAAATTATTGTTATAAAGTGGAGTACTACTGAGCCATAAAGAAACTAAGGGCCAGGGATTTAGCTCAGTGGTTCCGCCATCTGCCTCACAAGCACAAGATCCCAAGTTAGATCCTGGTACCAAAAAAAAAAAAAAAAAAAAAAAAAAAAAAGGAGATAGAGTGAAACTAGAAACAATTATAGCTAAGTGGATGCACATTGAGGACATAACATAAGTGAAATTAATAGGACACATGTAAATGTATAGTTTCTCTGGTGTGATAAACTAAAAGTATAAATAAGGATCAAAATGCATAATTGAGATTGTGTAATAGAAAGTAAAGGTCTAAAGGTGTAGGGGAAGTGGGAAGGGTAGGGGAAAGGTAAGAAGGGATAAGAAAAAAATAAGAGAAAAAAATGGAAATAATGTCTTTGTAAATAGGGAAGAGTGGCGGGGGAATGGGGAAAAAAATAAGAACCAAGGTACATTGTGTAAAGGTACAAGATCCCAATGATGAATATAACTGTATTGTATACCTAAAGTTTACAAATAAATAAAAAATAAAGTTCCACCACCTCCTAAAAGTGCCACAGGGTAGAGACTAAGCCTGGGGGTACATTCATTCAAATCACAGCCAATAGTAGCCCACAAATGCTCATGAGTTTTATCATTCATTTATTTTACCTCCAACTACATTCATCCAATCTGCTTTGTATACCACACTTTTCCATACTTTATCAAATACACATTCTATTGATGCAGTCACTGTTAGGTTTAATTTTAATCATTGGAATAGAGAAATGACTTGCTCAGAGTTCTCCAGTCATTAAGAGCTTTTGTGTTTTCTACTGTCTTCAGAGCTGGCTCTCTCTCTAAGATGTGATCCTGTCCCTTAGATTATCCTGTGTTGGATGTAGCTTCCTGTTCTGTATTTAGGCTGCTTGTTCTTGCAGGTACCTGGGAGATGAGACAACCCTGTAATGTGTAATGCCTTGGCCTCAGCAGGTGGATCCATTAGCCAAGAGATGGCTTATTCTTTCTTTTTTTCAATTTTTATAATATTTTATATAACTCCTAAAACAGTGCTTGTATAAAAATTCACATAAGCCAGGGATTTAGCTCAGTGGTTCCACCACCTGCCTCAAAAGTGCAAGCTTCTGAGTTTGATCCCTGGTACAAAAAAAATTTCGCACAAAGTTTCTAGAGAGGATACAATTTCCAAAAATGTCCTGGGTTTTTGTTACACTGTTTTCTAAAGATGTACTCAAATGAGTGGTAAAACAGGAAATACTTGATGATTCATTAGTTTTGGTAAAACTCTCCTCATTATTTTGTCTCCTCACAGTATTAACTCTGATAGCTACTTTGTGCAGGGTCTGCTCCCACCAGGATGTCAGAAAAGCATTAAGGCTGGATCTATAAGAGCAAGCATTTCCAAATAGCAGAAATACTCGAGAATCATGGATCTGCACAGCCAGACAGGCAGACTGCTCCCAGGAGTCTCAGGAGCCCTCCCTACTGGGCAAGAAGCAACCCCCTGTGGGGAAAAGGTAGAGGCTGAGGCCATCAGTACAGGACAGGACAATGGGCCGAGCCATGGTGGGATCAGGGCCTCCACTCTGACCATTCAAGCAGGCAGTCCTGGTTGGCTGGTGACTGCTGCTACTGGCTCCACCTCCGCCTCAAAAAGAAAAGGAAAATTTGTGGCCAAGGCTGAAGGGGGAGGACCGCACTTTATTCCCTAGGTGGCCGCTCATTCTTGTCTTGCCTGTAGGGAGTTACTTCGTACTATAGTCCACACCCCAAAGTGAAGATTCTCTTAAATGTCTCCTTTTCAAATACATTTTTGGGGCTGGGGATTTAGCTTAGTGGTGCTGCTGCCTGCCTTGTAAGTGCAAGGTACCGAGTTGGGTCCTTGGTACAAAAAAATAATAATAATAAAAATAAAAAAATATATATATGTATATATATAAACTTTAACAAATATTTATAAAGTATTTGTGCAGCCCTGTTTTGTGTTCTGGGGTGTAGAAATAAAACAAAGTACCTCCTTTGTAGAGCTCACATTTTCTGTGAGGGTGGGGAATAAACTAAGAAAAAGGAATATTATATAACATATAATATATACCAATATATTCAAAATATTGTAAAGGGGAAAGGGGCAGTTAGGAAAGAAAATTCTGTGGTTTTTTGCCTTAAGAACCTGCCTGTCTTCTTTTTGCTCATGTTCTTTTAAGCCTCTCCCCCACCCAGGGAGTTGTCTGGAAAATGAAATTTTTCATTAACTTAGTGAAGAAAATATGACATCCTGATGATTAGAAAGGCAAACAACGTGCTGCATAAACTACAGGCCTCGACTTCTGCAAGCAGTGTTTCTGGCACACACTATGAAGTAATATAACACTGAGATGTACTTTGGTTTCCATAGTGCAGTTCCCTTTATAAGAAAGCCAGCTTTGATCCTGCTTATCGCCAGTGGTTTTGTTTGGATTTGCTCGCCCAGACCTCAGACCATAGAAAAAGACCAGGGAGAACCTGGCTGCAATTTTTCTTGCCAGAAAATTGCAGAATGATGGTGTCCCTGTCCTGCTTCATAATGGATTGGTTCGAGCTGTTCTTCCTCCATCCTGTAGCATTTTATCAAGGGGCTGCCTTCCCTTTTGCACTTCTGTTTCATTATCTCTGCATCTGGGACTCATTTTCTACTCGGGCCAGGTAGGTTGGACGGCGAATTTTGCTCTTGCATCTCGGAATATAATAACAGAGCAGGAAGCACATACCGGTGGTGCTTGTTTTTAGCGCATCATCCCTGCTGCTGGTGGTGGCTTGATAATGAACACATACAACAGAGTAAAACTGGCCTGGAAATCGGTCATGTCTGCATTGACTCAAAGTCTGACAGGCTCGCACTAAGTGGGAAATGGATGAAGGCAGACTCTGGGAGAGATGGGTGTTGACGTGGCCCAGGAAGCTCCCCGGATGTGCACCTCTGTGCCAAACACAGATCGCAGATATTCTTGAGCAGTCCTGATCTCGTAGATTTCGATCATTTTCAGTAAAATTAAATCTTATGTAAGTAACACCTCTGGGTGACATTTATAACAAGACGGGATTTTTAATTTAAAATGCCTTTGTATGATTTGTCTCTCTCCTCCCTTCTTCCCTCCCTCTCTCTTTCCGTTTCTCCTCTGCCCCCTCCTTTTTTCTTTCCATGTTTTTGGCAGTGTGAAGGGATTAAATTCAGGGCCTTTGCAATGAGCTGTATCTCCAGTCATCTTCTTCTTTGCAGTACTGGGCTACTGAGTTTGGGGTCTTTGCACTGAGTGGCACCTCCAGAACTTCAACAAAAATTTTAAATTTTTTAAAAAATTAATTTTATTGATACATTTTACGTATACAATATAACGACATTCATCATTGGAAATTTGTACCTTTACATGGTATATCTTGGCCCTTATTTTTTCCCGTTCCCCTGCCCTCTCTTCAGCCCCTCCACCCTCCTCATTTACAAAGACTTTGCTTCCTTTTTCTCTCCACCCAGTCTTTTTTGGTACCAAGGATCAAACTCAGGACCTCAAGCTTTTGAGGCAGGCAGAGGCACCACTGAGCTAAACACCCCCGGCCCTGCCTTTTCTCATGTTAATTTCGTTTCCTTCTTTCCTTTTCCCAGTCCCTCTCACTTCCCCTTGCTCTTTGGGCCTTTTCTTCCTATTTCACAATATCTATTAGGCCTTTTCTTGCTAACTCCCTAAGTCGCCCAGGCTGGGCTCAGACGTAGGATCCTTCTGACTTAGCCTCCCACAGAGCTGGGCTTACAGGCACCCTCCGCCGAAACCAGCTCCTTTGTATCATTTCTTGGAGAAATAAGTCAAAACAAATCTTGAAAGATTTGCTATATCTCAATTCAGGTTTGATTTGGGTTGTCACTAGAGGTTTGTTCACTTAATTGTGATGACTTTTTATGTCCAACACACTCCTTACCTTAGAAAGTCCCTATTTTTAAAGTTTTAGTAGAATATCCTTTCGTAAGGTGAAAAATCCGTTTGTTTACAGGCCATTTTCTGATAATTTGTTAATTTGGGGGACTACAGTTTTTATATTTGGGTTTCTGTATCTAATAATCATGATTGCTGAGTTTGTATGTTCACCACTGGTTGAGGGCCCTTACTTTCATTCTGGGAGCTGGGGATGGGGGGAACAGTTATGAAGAAGTTTCCTGTTGAGAAAGAATCACAAAATAGTGAAATAAAAATAAGAATTGAAGCCCATGGATTTACCATAGAATGAAGATTGCTCACTCTGGAGTTCTAACTCCCTCACTCACTGAGTGTCCTTCTGTATGTGAATAAAGGCTCTCGGAGGTGCCCTTTCTGTTTCTGTAAAATGGAAATAGTAACGCCTATCTCAGTGGGGTTATTTTAAGGATTAAATAAAGATATTTCTTGGAAGGGATTATTAGCACAATGTCTAGAATGAAATGAAATTGAAAGTCCTCAATAAATTGCACAGCCAACATTGTATCCATGGGCAGATACCTCAGCGTTTATAAATCCCTCTGGAGAGATGTGTCTGGCTTCTACTTCTGCTGGATAGAGTCATCCTCCACTTAATTTTCCCTTAGCAAGTAAAGCTGTGGGGAGGAGCCTCCTCAAGCTTAGGGTAAAGAAAAGCCCAGGAATAGTCCAGGGTTTTATATACTTGAGGTGTCTATCTACTTGTCTCCCCAAGAGAGGAATTCTTGCCAACGTGTGCCCAGCACCATGACATGGACCCATAATGTACGCTGATGCAGTTTTCTGCTTTTGACTTGATAGAGAAAAAGAGGCTTCTTTGATTCACCGTTTGGGTCTCTAACCAGTCCTTGTTTTATATTTTTTCTGCCTCCTTTATTCAGCTTTATTAATTTGGAGTCTGTTTTTTTTTCTTTTTATTGAGGTTATTGGTACAATCTAGGTATACAATACAATTACATTCATCATTGGGATTCTGTACCCTTACATAATAGGTCTTGATTCTCATTTTTCCCCTTGTCCCTGCCCTCCCTTCACCCCCTCCTCCCCTCCCCATTTACAAACACTTTATTTCCATTTTTTCAGTTTCTCATATTTTTTTCTCACCCTTATT